GRTWAACAAATCTCTTTATTAAAAATCACTCTTTCGAGCGGATTCCCATATCATTCAAGTTGACGTGTTCTGAATGGCTCATCTTTGAGTCCATTTCACTTTAACACTTCAAAATGATCAATCTGTCGAGAATTAATCAATGTAGAAAATACAGATAACAAAATCTCTTCAGTAACTCTCTCAAGTCTACTTCCCATATCATCCAAATTGATAGTCAATCAATGGYTTRGCTTAGAGTCCATGACACTTTAACACTTTAAAGTGATCAATTTGTCGAGAAGAGTCATTGGTTTTATAAAACTTGAAATGAAATAATGAAACATTGTTGTTACATAAAAAGGGTCTACTTTCTTTTGATTTACAAACTCACCATTTCTGTCTTGCACCCGAGCTAAGAAATTTAGCAACTCATAAAGGAAAGGAAATTGCAAGAAATATAAATTGCAGTAAATGAAGACATAAACTTAAATAACGGAAAGTAAATAGCGGAATGTAAAAACGAAAAGCGTAATAAATTGAGGAAAGTAACAATGCGAAAAATGAAAGATAATTAAAAGTAAACTTGGAAGAGAGAAGAGAATTCAACTAAAGATTATTTATATTACTAAAGAGAAACCTGCTTAGTAGAGAATTGATGATTAAAACACTAACCCAACCCTTCTATTTATACTAAAATAGAGGTGAGGGTATAAAAGTAATTTAACACTAACTTGAAGTCAAAGTTTGCAAAAGTACACTTATAATTGCAAAAGGTTAAAGACTTTAAAGTATAATTGCAAAAGATAATTCCAGCCATTTAAATTAAATCTGGAAAAACAAGAGTCTTCAAAAGTTAACCAAGTCTTGTCACTAGCTCCTAGCTACTTTATCTYGAAGGCTCCATCTTCTAGTTCATKCTGTAGCAATTCAACAGCTTGAAATACAAACTTCAATTCTGCCCAAAAAAAGTCCACATTAGCCTATTATAGAGTGAAAAACAGGTAAATCATTTACTTTAGCTCCATAAACAGAGAAGTGGAAAATGAGGAAATAAAATGGCTCAATGTTGGGATATAAATGGAAAATAACGTATCTAAATGAGAAGAAAAGAGTGTTTAAGCACTAAATAATTAGTGCACATCAGTGTTCACAACCAAATAATAGATGTTCTCTACATTTAGTAGCAAAACTGTTCTATACRTATGGAGTTTTCTCAGGGGTGTGTGGATATGAATTTTGTGGTCCAATTATACATATCTTAGCTTTTATTCAATCATATATGTATAAAACTTTATCCCAATCATTACGTTTTAGGATTTTTTTTACTCTTTTAGCCGATTTGATGATTCTTGATTCAGGCTTTCGAAGAATGTTAGAAGAATGATTMTGTTCAAGTGAATTTCATATGTTACCTTGTCATTTTAAGACATTCGTGTTGTTTTAATTTGTAAGACGYTTAATATAATATATGGTATGAACTTTTATATTTCGTTTTATTTATTACTTGTATGGTCGATCTGTAGTCTTGGTTTGATAGAGGCGTAATGGCCCTGAATTTTCTTGTCTGCTCATTTGAACTTGTGTTCTGAAAAATGAGTTATGTTTAGCGTTCTTGATTTCAATCATAGTAATTTAATATGGCTGTTGTAAGTAATTTATCACCAGGCTTGGGTTTAGGTGAGAGTAAGAGTTATGGTGAGAAGGTGAGAACAAAACATTCATCTACGTTCAACTGACCGAAAGTATAACAAATTCATGCGTGTGAAAGTGATTAAATGTATGTGAAAGTTCGTGAAAGTGACTTAAAAGTGAAGATAAATTTGAAAATAAAGGTAGATAAATGTAGTTGAAGGTAGTGAAAGTAGTGGACAAAGATTAAGTTAGATTAAAAAATCAACTCATCCAAAGACTCAGAAGTATTCTTACTATTCTCAACATAACTCTTATTCTCACACGATCCTTCGTATTTATCACCAATAGTTTTTCATTTGGTACCAAATGTTAGTCATAAGTGGTTATCAAGTTTTTTAATCTGAAGTACATAATACAACTCTGCGAAGTCTAGATTTAACCCCTTTGACTTTAAGAGGTCAAAACGTTTCTCTTTTCGTGGATCTTACTATGGGAGTGTTACACTTTCTCATCTTTSTATATCTCCAAATTGGAAAAAGCATTCACTTTGAGGTGTTACATGATTCAGTTTTTTTTGTTTGTAAAAGAGGATGAGATGACAACCATTTGATCCATAGATGACTTAATGGAAACCAACCAAAATTTTCACTGGCCGGTTTCTTCATGGAAGCAACCGCTTTACTCTTTAGGGTAGAGGTCA